TCCAAATTTCATACTACCAAATTTCCACCTTCTCAAGTTCCTTACTCCCCAAATTCCATACTACCAAATTTCCACCTTCTCAAGTTCCTTACTCCCCAAATTTCATACTACCAAATTTCCACCTTCTCAAGTTCCTTACTCTCCAAATTCCATACTACCAAATTTCCACCTTCTCAAATTCCTTACTCCTCAAATTCTATATTGCCAAATTTTCACCTTCTTAAATTTCATACTGCCAAATTTCCACCTTCTTAAATTCCATTCTGCCAAATTTCCACCTTCTCAAGTTCCTTACTCCCCAAATTCCATATTTCCAAATTTCCACCTTCTCTTTAGGCGCGGAAGTATGGGATTATGGGAGTTTTGGATTTGAAGAGTTTGGGACTTCGAGTTGGAACTTTGGTATTTTCTGATCTTCGAAACCGGAGGACTTCAAAATTTGCTCAATTTCGAGATTTTAAATTTTAAGACTGAAATTGTAAGAGTTTGTGACTTTATAATTTTAAAAATAAATACATTTGCTCGATAATACTAAGTCATGATAATTTGAACAGCCCTAAAATCACATATTGATTTGCAATTCCTGTCTTTACAAAAATAGTCTTGCATAACGGCGATAGAAAATAAATTGAAAAGAACCCTGAGAATAACCGCGCGAATGTAAAGAGTAATCATTCACGCCGTGCAACATAATTATTACGCATAAATAAATGTCAGTTTGGCGTGAACAAATGTGTGAGTCAGCTGGTAGAATGTTCTATCTCGAACCACCGCTAGTATCTTTGGAATGTCTCGACATAACGCTGAAAATATTCGAGCAATCCGAGGACTCTGCAAGCTGATGGTTTTGGGAATCGCTGCTCCAGGACATTCTCACTCGCCCCTTTAATCCCTTATAGCGAGACTAGCATTTCATGTATTTCGGATTTTATCCCGAGTAAGTAGGTCTTTTGTTCGAAAATCGACTATGATGTATCTGAACAGAAGGATCCAGCTTATCTGTTGTATGTACATCCTTTCTGCTACCCGCATATCACGGAAACGTATCGCTTTACACTCGGTGGGTGGTACACTCGTGGACCACAGGATGACGAATAGTACACAAAGAACGTTATAAGGAATATATATTAAATATTAGATCGATTTATTCGAAAAATTTCTATAGGAGTCAACTTCGCGAATTTAATCACCTTTCTTTCTTAACAAGCGTTATCTATCGAGTGTTATCTATCTTTTTACTAGAAGAAGTTATGACTCGAAGACAAGAGTTGTATAAACAAGATTTAATTTAAAGTTTCCACGGATCACGTGTATCGCTATAAGAGATTAAAAATCTCATTCAATCGTATGATTCCTTTGAAACAAGAAACGTTTGATAACATTTTTCGATCAATGCTGCCTTGCCAGCATTCTTCCTTCGGTCGCACAAAGAACTGTTTTCTCGTTTCAGATCATACAGGGGCCAACAAGAAAACAGAAAACTCGGGGAGGGGTGCAAGTTGATTTGTACGTTGGACGAAAGGTTACCTTGCTTCCATAGCCAGCCCTCTTTGTCGGGATTGAAAAACGTGTGCATCAGATCGTTGCCGTCGTCTTCCGGTATCTTGAACGGTTCCGTCTTTATACTTTCGTATAAACTCTGGAAATCCATGAAAACGTAATTATAAATTGTTCGTGAAACACTCGGTATTTGCGGTCGGGGAAACTTTTCGACCGAAAGAAAAGTGAGACGGAAGATGGCATTCCCTGGGAAAAAACCGATGGAAATACCATTCTTCCGGCAATTCTAACGAAATTAAAAAAATTTCCTTATAATTCAAGGCTGGAACAATGCATAGTACTCTTATTACACGCGTTACATTGCCTCACGATATTTTCTCTATGGTTACATTTTCAGACCGTCACGCGTCGAATTTCAATGCGTTATATTGCCACGAATCAAATTTTCAGTTTCTGCTCGTTATATCGCCACTTATTGAAATACTACGCGTTGTATCGCCACTCGTTAAATTTTTATGTGCAGCATTATTACGCGTCGAATTTCAACACTTTGAGTCGCCTCGCGTTATATCGCCGCGTATTATATTACCTCGCGTTATATCGCCACGCGTCAAATTTCCATGCGTAGCATTACTACGCGTCGAATTTCGACACTCTGCGTCGCCTCGCGTTATATCGCCGCGTATTGTATTACCACGCGTTATATCGCCGTTTGTCAAATTTCCATGCAGAGCATTACTACGCGTCGAATTTCAACACTCTGTGTCGCCTCGCGTTATATCGCCGCGTATTGTATTACCTCGCGTTATATCGCCGTTTGTCAAATTTCCATGCAGAGCATTACTACGCGTCGAATTTCAACACTCTGTGTCGCCTCGCGTTATATCGCCGCGTATTGTATTACCACGCGTTATATCGCCGTTTGTCAAATTTCCATGCAGAGCATTACTACGCGTCGAATTTCAACACTCTGTGTCGCCTCGCGTTATATCGCCGCGTATTGTATTACCACGCGTTATATCGCCGTTTGTCAAATTTCCATGCAGAGCGCATCAAATTTCTATGCGTAACATTAATACGAGTCGAATTTCTACACCCTCTATTGCCTCGCGTTATATCGCCAAGAATTATATTATCTCGCATTATATCGCCGCGCATCAAATTACTACGCATTGTACCGCCTCGCATTATATTGCCATGCACCGAATTACTGTGCGTTGTAATACCACGCATTACATCGCCGATAAATCAAATTACTACTCATAATATCGCCTCGCAATATATTGCCACAAATTGCATCGCTTTGAATTATATTACCGCGCGTTGAATTGCGATGCACAGAATTATTACGCGTTGTTTCGCGTAAGTATTAAACTACTACCCGTTATATCGCCTCGAATTATATCGCCACGATCCGAATTACTACGCGTTCTGTCACGACAGACTGTATATCGCCGCATGTCATAGCGTCACGAATTTTCACATGTTAAATTATCATCTATTATATGTGGCAATATAACGAGAGAGTACTGTAATATAAAAAATTAATCTTCCTTGAAGAACTAATCTACTGGAAATTCCAGTATTTTTAAACCTACAAATTCTTCCTCTTGAAGCAGCATACGTGATCCTTGCAATTATTAAAATCACGTAAAACACTGAAGGAAGTAATAAAGTCTGATGACTGTAATGAAAATTGCCAAGAATTTTATAAATTTTACAGGATAGAATCTCGTTTTACAATTATCGTGTTAGATCCACGGAAACAACGTACAATCATGCGACGTGTTAGCGTGGTAGGTTTTTTCTAGTAAATCGTACGGAATCGATTTTTGCACCGGTACAAAACGAGATCATCGTCGCAACTAGCTACTTTGCATGAGTCTATCATTAAAGAATCATCGTAGAACGGACTTCCCCGTTAGCCGGTAGATTCATCTAATAACCGCGACTTGTAAAGCGCGCCAATTGCTTTATATCCTGGCCACGAATCTCGCGGATGGACAACACGCGACGTACGACCTTTCACGAATGTCGTCTCTCGCGAATGCACGCAATGATGTACACGTGCGGTCCGTTGTTAGCCATGTTATTGTATTATCGCGGTTGTATGTGCTTTGTTGTTTCTTAACCAACAGTCATTCGTGGTCCGCGAGTTTACGACGAGATCTGTTTTAGATAGCTCTTTCGATCTGTACATGTTAATCGTTCGTTTGTGTTTGGTATCTAACGTTTGATGTGGAATAGTTGTGGTTAGGTTATTCAATCTCGGGTACTCAATCGTTAACATTCAACACTCAATAATTAATATCTACATTCGCTGTTGAGTAAATAGTATTTACAAATCTGGCACTTATAATTAGCATCTGGTATTTAATAGCGTGCAGGGAGTATCACAGAGTAAGGGGATAACTAACGTCTCGAAAATATTTCAGAATTGGCAGTATGGAATTTGGGGAGTAAGGAATTTGAGAAGGTGGAAATTTGGTAGTATGGAATTTGGGGAGTAAGGAATTTGAGAAGGTGGAAATTTGGTAGTATGGAATTTGAGAAGGTGGAAATTTTGGCAGTATGGAATTTGGGGAGTAAGGAATTTGAGAAGGTGGAAATTTGGTAGTATGGAATTTGGGGAGTAAGGAATTTGAGA